TTAATAATGGCTAGTTCAATATTGGAGCCTAAATTTTGATTGACTCATAGCTAATGAGAAAAAAAAGTAAACATTATAAATTAGATAAATTATTAAATTATATTATTTAAAATAATAAATAAAACATTGACAGTTTTTTATTAATTAATCTTTATGTATAAATTAAGTAAAAAAAAATCTTGAGAAGTGATTAAAATATTGTGTAGTTGTAAATGATCAAACAATAAGTTTTCTAAAGGTCCAAAATCAGGAACATAATATGCTATTTACTTTTACAGTCAGTGTCTATTAATCAGTATTTTAAAAATGGCTTATAATATATATACAATATAATTTAATATAAGGTGACACACAGTGGCGCAGTTGATAGTGCTGTCACCTCACAGCAAGAAGGTCGCTGGTTCGAGCCTCGGCTGGGTCAGTGTTGGTGTTTCTGTGTGGAGGTTTCATGTTCTCCTTGCATTCGCGTGTGTTTCCTCCGGGTGCTCTGGTTTTCCCCACAGTCCAAAGACATACACTATAGGTGAATTGGGTAGGCTAAATTGTAGTGTATGTGTGTGAATGAGTGTGGATTTTTCCCCGAGATGGGTTGCAGCTGGAAGGGCATCCGCTGCATAAAAACGTTCTGGATAAGTTGGCAGTTCATTCTGCTGTGGCGACCCCAGATTAATAAAGGGACTAAGCTGAAAAGACAATGAATGAATGGAGTAATATAATATAATTTCTTATAATAATTAATGGTATAATATAAAACAAATAAAAAAATAATGTATAATAATAATAATAATAATATTGACCTTGCCATTTTTTTTCTATTTTTTAGTTATTTGTTTTTTATTAAAACATCATATATAATTTAATGACAAAGATAATAAGAGTCAAATGTCAAATTAATGATTAATTCAAATCACTTTTGTTAGGTAAAAAATTAAATATAAAAAAATAAATTAAAATATTGTGTAGTTGTAAATTATCAAACCATATATTTTAAAAAGTCCACAACACATCAGGAACATATTATCCTATGTAATTGTACAGGTAGTGTCTATTAATTGATGTTTAAAAATGGCATATAAATGTATTTATAAGCCATTTTTAAATACTGATCATATATATATATATATATATATATATATATATATATATATATATATATATATATATAT